ATGCAAGCTAAAAAATTGTGGAATGAACCGTAACAGTACTACAAAGCAAAATATAAATAAAGATAAGATAAGATCAGAGTGCAGTATTTATGCCACTAAGGGGAGAATCGAATGAATTTAGAATGACAAAGATAAATTAACATGAAGAAGCTGTTTGTTCAGTGAGGGCTGCTCCCACTGAATATGCAAGGCTTCTTTGATTTTTAGAATTTGGGTTGAAGAGGCGGAGTCCAGTATCGTGAAACAGTCCTCATTGGCTGATTGTTTACAGTGACGTGAACTTTTCAGACGCTTTAATATATGCGAGTTTCCATCCAGTGTTAGGTGCTCACGCATGCGTGTAGAGAAATGTCGACTTGTTTCGCCAACGTAACAAGCATTACAGCCTGCACATACAAATTTGTAAACGACACGCGAACGGAGACCAACTGGGATGGGATCTTTAGCTGAAAACAAATTTTTAATTTTAAATGAGGAAAATACAATTTTTAAATTTAAGTCATCACAGAATTCATTCGATAAGGCACGGATTTTCTTACTAAGGACTTTGGAAAATGTGCCGACATAAGGTAATTTGAAATAAAAAGTGATTGGTGTATTTTCTTTAGTGTTATCCAGTGTACTTTTGCATTTACACTGAACTGAATTAACATAACGAAAAATAATTTGATCAATGAGGTATGAAGGAAAACAATTTCTCTTAAGGATGGTAGTTAATGCCTTGGTATCATAATGAAAGCCCCTCCAACTATTATTGATTTTAAAAGCCCTATCAACTAACGTGCGAATAAGACCGATTTTGTAACTGAACGAACAAAAACTGAAAAAATTAGTAAGTAAACCGGTATAAGATTTTTTCCTAAAAACTGAGGTCTGAGGTGGCCCATCCTTAATGTTGGACACCAAGACGTCCAGGAAAGGAAGCTTTTTCCCTACTTCTTTTTCCATGGTGAATCAACAAATGAACTATAAAATATACACAAATACTTTTCAAAAACAACACAACAGATCGTATCTTCATCATAGGTAAAGCCTGTATTTAATCCAATAAGTTATGGCCTTAACGGCCCCAATAAACAAATATACACAAATGCATATACATGTGACTTAAACTTGCCTGTACAGTATACCTGATAATATACACGCAGGGCATGTATGGGTGATTCCATTTATCCTTGAGGGGTAAGTTTAAAATATATAAATATATGCATGATACTTAAGCTTATAGAGCACACAATTAGGCGTCCAGGATGAGTTTAACCACCACCAATGTAGAAACAGCGTCTTTGTTACTGGGTACAGGCACCCTGTTAGGCAGTGTGTTCCACCTCAGGATATACCTTATGTGGCTGCACTACTGTGCACTGCAAAGAGAACGGCGCCGATTAAAGTATACAAACAAGGAATGAGGGAAGTGTAGTAAACGAGTATCATTATTGTATAACAGAAAGGAAAAACCAACGGCGGCGGAACGTTTTTGAAAGTGAGGGGAGGGGGGCATTTCATAAGGCCGAGTATGCGAACGAAGCGAGTATCTAGGCTGGGGGCCAGGGGGGCCGCCAAGGGCCCTCGGTGGGGGTCCAGGGGGCGAAAGTTCCTGGAAGCTACGAATATTTTACGAAGTTTGGTGAATTTTATAAATATTTTATAGACCTCAAGCTACTGTAATGTTTTCATATGTGTTGTATTTCCAGTGGCGGATCTAGGAATTCGAAATAGAAGGGCCCAGGGAGGGTAATTTCATAGATAGAAGATCTATACTACCTCAGCCCTACCATGGTTGGAGCTGAGATAAGAGAATTTTTGATTATGGCACCTCTAGATGGCCAGAAATTGCACTTCCAGACATAAAATTTGAATATAATTATCTTTATATCTCCATGTTTTATTGAACAATTTAGGAGGGTGGGGGCGGGCCGACTGGTTCCCCTTGAATCCGAGAATCTATACCACCTCAGCCCCGCTATGGTTTGGGCTGAGGTAAGAACATTTGTGATTATGGCACCTCTAGATGGCCGGAAATTATACTCTTAGACTTAAAATTTGAATATAATTTAGCCTCCCCCTCCCCTTGAATGCGCCACAGATTTCCGAACAAAGTCGAAGTCGACGTTGCTTTCACGACCTCAATAAATTATTTATTATGAGGGTTATCCTTGATATGGGTTCCCCGACGGAAACTTCACTTTTCCCTCGATGGATAAAAATTATACCCTTGTATGTAGCTCAGAAATGATACTAGGTTTCTCACTATATTGTGGAATGACAATGTTATGTTGCCAGTGTAATTGTTTAGTAAATCGAATATATTATTATTATTTTTGTAGTAAACTATAATAGGCCTACCTCCATGGTACTATTATGCCTAAATGCATTTTGGTTCACTTCACAATACAAACAACCGTAAATATTTCACAGGCTGGTGGCTGTCTATGGATCCTGCAGATAACTACTTCAAACGATTAAGGCCAGTTTCAGAAGTGCGCCACCTATTTGAGACCAACAATCGTTTCAAACCTAGAAACGACGAGACGCTTGGTGTCTGTTTGGTAAGTGAGATAATCAATAATACCGCAATGATATGTTCAATAGTTCACTTAATTGTTAGCGTTATTTTTATTAAAATGATTACTGTTTGAAGGCTAGGTTTGCATGGCAAAGTTGTTATATATTAAATGCTTTATAACGGCTTTTGTATTAGCCTTTTCACACTCTAGTCTAAGTTAATGTTTATTTTTACACCAATCAGCAGCAAGTCTCATTATCTAATCATATAAGTATTTCCCTGTTTGGACTTTCTGCAGATGTATTATTCTCCTGAAGACGATTGATTGAAGCAACTCTATCCAAACGTCGAGACACTCTGTACAAAACAATAGTTATTTTCTACGTCGTGTACCGCAATCATTTAATATTATCATGACTATTATTAGCAATATTATTATAATCATAGTCATTACTATTAATAAAAAAAAATCTTTACCATATCATTACAGTACACTGCCGACGAATCAAGCCTCATGCAGCTTTACTTCAAACAACGATATAATGGAAATATGGCCAAGATACCGGATACTAAGTTAGCAAAGTAAGTGTCATCCTCTGCGAGGAGTGATGTTTTTGTCCTACCTCTCGTGTCATCGTACCGAAAACTCAGTACCGTACTTTCCCAAAAATCGCAAGTGATTTGTATGGGAATCGAATCGAACCCACGACTTCTAGATAACTAGCCTGGTGTCATCCGCTAAGCACCGAACTTGCGCTTAGTGACTAGTGTTGAATCCAATTCCCAAGTAGCAGCGGGTACTGCAAATGCTACCGGTATTTCGACGTGTGTTGGCGTCAGGAAAATGTCCTACCTAACTTGTTATCGTACCGAATACTCAGTACGTTTCCAAATACTTAATATTTTACTGACGCAAGCACACATCGAATCTTCTAACATAGTTATATTACATCATTCCTGCTTGAAGATATCTGTATATGCCTGTCAATCATCGTTGTGTCAATCAACATATGACAAAATCTGTTTGATCAATAAATAACAGTGGGGAACTGGTCTAGGTTTGGAATTTACTAGGGTATTAATTGTGATGTGATGGCGATTTTATTGTAATAACATAAGAATTTCTACTTTTTATTAAATTCATGATGAAAAAATGCATAGGCGCCACTCGCCCTAATTAATTTAAATTATAGGCTATAACAAATGAAGAAAAAAGAAAATTATATTCAAATTATTTCCGGCCATCTAGAGTTGCCGTAATAATAAAATTTCGCACATCAAGAGGAGGAAGTCACTAGCCATTAAATAAACTTAATAGTCAGGATAGGGGAAAAGTATATGTTGTGCAAATATCATTTTTTAAGGCTGAACGGATGTATTTGTATATAATCGGAAGTGGTTAATCAGATTTTTTTTTAAGGGTGGCTCGTCAGACGTACAATATGTCTCATGTTTCTATTGGAAACCTAAAGTCTATAAAAGGGATTGAAGACTGTAAATGTACCCACACGATTATCATGTATTCTAGTTATTTCTGTGGTTCGGAAGTCATTTGTCCTATAAAAGTCTGCACAGTCTTTCTCCTTTATTTAATCCAGACCTTATTTTGACGTAAGTTTTTTTTTGTGCTTATTTTTGGCAGAAAACGAAAAAAGGGGCTCCAAGCGGCAATAGACGAGAATAATGTCAGCTTGAAACTCATCTCAACTTTCAGTCGGTTTTTTGATCTCCTCGAAGGACATGACGTCGACCAGAGCGGAACATTGGACTTCAAAGAATTTAAAAACATGATTAAAGACGTTAGTATTCTTTATATAAGTAATTGGTTGTACAGTATTTGAAAGCACATAGCGCATCTAAATATACAATTATTTGATTGATTGATTGATTAATTGATTGATTAATTGAAGTTTTTTAGTGTCATACATACGAAATTTACACACGATAGCTAGAACAAACAATAACAAGGAATTCGCAACAGAAACGAAGACACTAAGTAGGGTCAATAATTAAACCCCAAAAGATAAATAGCTTGTTCCTGTTATGGCACTTAAATTCATTAACAAGACAAAAATAATGAAATATTATCTGACTAGGATATAAAAACGTTAATACAAAAAGTGCATTATACATTTTTGTTTATGAGTTATTATAGTTACTAGTTACGGGATATTTTATAGTTAATGTATTTTATAGTTATTATATTCCTAAATAAATACTAATTTAGGATTTTATTGACTGTATTTGTGTTTTATTCATCTCTACTGTTATACATTTGCTTTCAGAACAAAGACAAGTTCACGCAAGCGGATTTCGAAACCTTGTTTGGCGAAGGAAGTGACGTCAACACAGTATTCGAGTCTTTGGACGAGGACGGCAATGGCACTGTAATTCACATTCAAAAATCTTATTAATTTGATAATACCCTTACCATTGAAAATTGGTAGCTTTCGATTTGTGCGACGACGCGACGCTAGAACGGAATCACTCTTACGTGACCGTCCTACCTGGCGTCCTACGTGCTCTGCATACGTAGATTTGGCAAAATTGCGTTCCAGAATCTATTTTACGAGGTGACCTCGTCATCAGACGACGTTGCTTTACAAACAACTGTTGTATGCCCATATATAGTCATGATGTGCTTATATATGGTCTTGATGTGATGTCACCATGACGATATTTAGGCATGTCACAAAATATGATAGTCTGGACAGGGCTTTTAATATATAGACAGTATTAATAGGCCCTAATTACAATTTTTTTTTCAAGGTCGATACTTTGGAGCTGCTTCGATATGCCGAATCCAAGGGACTTCATCTCACAGCACGTTTCCTTGGTTACGAAAGACAGGAAATTCGCTCCTTCAAGGATTATGTTGTTTCGCTCCAAAACAGTGTCTTCAACCACGCTATGAGGGAGTTTGTTTGTGTAAGTATACACACACACACACACACACATAT